ATGCAGAAAGTGTTTCATAGAGAATATAATCTAGAATCAGATCTTAGAGAATGAGTAGAAATTACCATCAAATAGGTGGCTGTATGCTGGGAATGAGAAGCAGTACCCAGGACAGTCCATAAACATGGCACATCCTAGAAAGTTTTATTGTCTCGGGAGTGCAGTAAGTCCTACTGAGGCATTTGGGCTTAACTTCTATAGAAAATTGGATTCCCAAAGCATTTTAAGTGAGAATTACAGTTTTGTGTTTTAGAACAATATTTGGCAGTAGTATCAAGGAATAATTAGCAGAAAATATAATGTCAGTGATACTGAAGCTGTGGACAGAAGTGCACTAATAAGAGAATTGAACATGAAAAGGCATCTCAGTATATTTCCCCAGTTTCTTACTTGGGTTTTTGGGATATGGTTGTAGCATTAATCAAACTAGGATAAAAAACAGGAGGAAAAAGCTTTCAAGGATTTCGAGAAGGTCTTTGAAATATTGATCTTTATCAATATTTATTAATTAACTCGTATTTAGAAGACATTGTGTTGTTTACAAAAATAGGTAGCATATAAGGAATATGTCTTCAATTTTTATTTTAGCGTAGAAAAGGAACAGCACATAAACTTAAAAACATAGAATTTCAGAACAGTTATTATAAGTTCCAAATGAGTGTTATATGTAATATGTTCAGAGAATGAAGAGATCATGTAATGCCTATAAGACTTGGGAAAATTAGTAAAGAGATTTTATAGATGAGTAGAAGAAAAGATGTCTGAGCAAATGAACAGATCAGATTACAGAAGTATTGAAGGCTGGGCAAAAACAGTGTTTGAGAAAATAATTACAGCTTTTTGTACAGGTGAGGTACCAATAGATTTGATGAAATTACTCTGCCAATGTATAGATTGTATTTTGTGGAGTTAGCCAGAAGCAATATCACTATTTAGATCATTGAAATAACACAATAGAACACATGGAGTATGTTGAAATGGGTTGGCATTACTTCTTTTAGAAGGTAATGATGCTTTCAGGATTCAGAGGAACTCTTTCTACAGGGAAAAAGAAATGACAGTTAATAATTTTTTTCCAACATAATTACTACATCCCTTCCCCAGAATAATGTATTTTCTGTCAATTTGAAGGAACAAACTCATTTCCAGTTGTATTTAAGGAGGAATGAGAAGAGTTGTATACAAGGTTTGACATGTTTTAAAAAAAAATCATATAGCTATAACTGTTAGAAATTGAAATACCTTAGAGATTATGTTATTCAGAACCTAATTTTACAAGTAAGAACCAGAGGGCTTTAAATACTTGTCAAAGATCAAAAAGCGAACAGAGGCAGACCTGGGAATAAAATGAAACTGTTCCTAGTTCAATCTGTGACCTTACCAGTTTAGATTCAGGGAAAATAGATGCAAATAAAGGAAAAAGAAAGCAAGGTGTGAAGACTTACGAAAAGTTTGAACACAGGTTTAAATTTGAAGGAGAACCTTTTAGCCCCTGGAGATCTAGATGAATTTGCCCAGGACCTCATCCCTATGCTGCTTCCTAAGATCTCTGTGAATTGCCCTGGGAAGAGGGCTGGGAGGATAGATGCTCATGTTCTGTTAACTTCCTTTGCCCTGTGGGCTCTGGATCCCTCTTGTAGTATCTCTTGTGTACTACACTCAGCGGTACATAAAACTCACTTCCTTCTTTGTCCTCCTCCTCAAAAAAAAAGAAATAAAAAAATATTCATGATCATGGTAGATTTTATTGGAAAAAGACCAGCAAAAGTTCTCCTTTGGCAAACATCAGAAAGAATACTTTAAAATAAAATTTTCTTGTCCTGTCCAGCCTCCTTTTTCACAATGTGAGGTGTCCCAGTCTTCTGGTTCCTTCGTTTCCCTTCTCTTTGGTGCTTTTCCTTTTGGTTTCCTTTTCTTGTGGGGCCAATGACTTCCATAGGGATCTATGAGTGTTAGTGGGTTAATAACGGGTAGCTTAGAGTATAACAATAAGAGATTTAAATAGCATTTAGAGTATAGATAATATTTAGAACATAGGTAGCCACATCAGGAGTGACCTTTACATTTAATTTTAGTGATTTTTTTGTCTTTTCAGTGTGTAGCATTTTATGTTAGGCATTTATAAAGTAGGGTCACAATCCATATCTACTTTTTCTCGTTTCCAGCAAAGCAGAATATACTATCCTTAGCCTTTTGTTTTGAAGCCAGAAATTATCATGTGAATGGCTTCTAGTATTTTTGGACTCTGAAGTTCGTTTGTCTCGTTTGTTTCTGACAATTACAATAGTCAAAGGTGTATGTTTTCCCCTAACATTGCAGTCACTTTACATTATCTGAAACATTTTTAGGACTTATACAATCAAACAGAATTGAACATTGTACCCTGTTGAACAACCCCTTCCATTTTATGTCTGTGTTCCTTTTTGATTTCCATGGTTTCTGTAGACTACAACGTGAGACTTCATGACACAGTGTTTCCTTTCCTGAAGTGAGGATAAATGAGATCTGTACTCTTCGTACCAAATAAATGTTGACAAATTTTTAGGGGTTCCAGACAAAGTACAAGATGCCCTGTTAATTTTGAACCTATCTAAATTCAATTTGAATTTATTTGAATACTCAAAACGTTTTTAGTACAAGTACATCTCCTGCAAAGATTATATACTTACATGAAAAAATGATTTGATGTTTATCTGAAATTCAAAATTAACTCAGTGTCATACGTATTTAATTGCTAACTCTGGCACTACTATAAACTATTTGTAAAAATTTACAATTCATGGGAGGTACATTTTTTGACTTTTGATTTTTTATACTGTTAGAGTACTTATCTGGTTAAGGTGGCCTTTATCTTCCCTTACTATTTAATAATTTCCTTTACGATTATCTTTATTGCATATTAATTTTTACAGCTTTGGCTCATTTCAGGATAAAAACATGGAGGGTGGGAGAGATTGTCCAGAAGCCTGCATTTAGCTAATTACTCCTGGTATTTTATTCAGTTTTCAGTTTAGCCCCTTAGGTCATATGATTATATATTTAATTCCTTAAAAATGTTTCTTTAAAAAAATAATCATTTCCTATATTGAAAGTTAAAATTGAGACCTCTATCAGTTTTTCTCATTGAAAAATTAAACTTATGATGACATTCTCTTTTTATTTTCACTGATATATTCTGTGCTCATTACAAACACAAATGTGTACCATTTTGTGTTTGAAAATAAATATTTATTACTGTTCTTTAATTATATTTCTGTCACTTTGGGAAATTTTCATAATCATACAATAGTAGAAATTAATTTGTGAACTTCATACATGAATAATTTTCCTTTTAGGAAGTTATATCTTATTATAAAATGCCAAAAAGTCTCTTTTTGAGATATGCAAATTTATACTTTGAAATATTCTTTCAAATGCCACCCCTACCACAATCACGAAATTAGAGTTTAACACCAAATTATTATTTTACCTTTAAAGATAGATCTTAAGAAATTTTTTACTTGCAGAAATAAAATATCTTCCAAAATATCAAAAGAGCAAACCCCTTAAAGAAATAATTGCTTTAAATCTGTGAAAACAGATAAAAAAAAACAAGCATTATATACCCTAAATACCCTAGGCAGGGGGGAAAGAAAAAAGAAACTACTAAATCCAAGTAACAGGTCAACAAATGCCAATAGTTTTTAGCTTATAAACTGAGATTTGCAATCCTAGGGATTTCCTACAGCAGAACCTTATAAATTTGCCCTCAGAACCATAATACAAATGAAATCTTCCTGTCTTTGAAAAAAATCTCTTCCTCTGTGATTAAACATGAAGGTCTGTATTGCTATTTTGTTCTTTAAAGTCATCTGGTGGTTTTAATACATTTCCCTATATAGCCACTTATTTTTAAGGAATTTGAAAGCTCTAATTTCCTAATGGCAATTTCATCACTGCTTATTGAATTAATGTACTTAATATGATTTTTCACACTTCACACTAAGCAGTAGCAGATTTGTTCTGTAGGCTTAGAATGTATGTTTTTGAATTGCACTGTGTTATTAAGCTAGTGCCGAGGCCATTAAGCTAGAGCTGGAGCCCATTCTACTAAGTGAAATATCCCAAGAATGGAAAAACAAGCACCACATGTACTCACCATCAAATTGGTATTAACTGATCAACACATAAGTGCACATGTAATAACATTTATTGGATGTCGGGCAGCGGGGAGGGAGGAAGCGGTAGGAGGGGACGCATATATGCATACACAAAGAGTGTGATGCGCACCATCCGGGGGATGGACACGCTTGAAGCTCAGACTTGGGGGGGAGGGGGGGCAAGAGCAACATACGTAACCTAAACATCTGTATCCCCATAATATGCTGAAATAAAAAAAAGAAAAAGAAAAAGAAAACCATGACCCCATATGAAATCAACTATAATGAAATAAATTAAAGCAGTTCATGGTTTTAGATAGAGCCTTGACTGCAGAGAGGTCAAAGTAACGTGAGGGGTTCTCTGCCATTTGATGGTCACTATAATCAAAGGCGGGAGCTGTGTGTGCGAAGATTGCTAAACACCCTGGAAGACCTATGTCTTTAAATAGCTAATAATATCCCACAATGGTGCTCAACCTCCACATTTTCATTCATGACCTGCTATTTATCAAAAGACAGAAATGAGTATTGTGACTTATCCCTCCTTCAAATTCACTTAATTAAAAGATAAGATAGGGGAAAAAGGTGGCTCTTTGTTCTTTGATCAGAGGGTGGGAATTCTCAATCTAAACTTTTATAAAAAGTATAATCTTAAAATTGGTTAACATAGTGACATTTAGATTTATCATCCTTGACTCTTCACTACTTTGTACTCTTCTTCCAATTTTTCTCTTTATTTTCTGAATTCCTGCTTTCAGTTTTTCCATTTTTAGAAGAATATTGGATGTATAAACATAGAGATTAAACCCACTGTGTCTGTGGACACGCTTATACTGACTGCTGTATTCGTGCTACCCCCAGGCACTGAAGGAGCAGTATTTGGGCACTCTGTGGAGACGCCTCATATCAGAGCAGAACCATCCCAAGACCTCAGGTAAGTGCTCCCTCTGACACCTGTGTGATGGTCCCCATCACTGTAGATCATCCTGGATATATGAAGAACTAAAATAAAACATGTGCTATGTACTTCTATGAAGAACTGACCTTCTCTAGATCCATGCTAAGTAGTTGGGTATTTGATGACAAGGCAATGTGGGTCATTATTCTAACTCTCTCTATATTTTTCCCTAATATACTTACAATGAATATAAAAATAAATATATCAGACAGAAGGAATGTGGAGAAGAAAAGGAAAAGGAAGTTTACCTTTGACATTATTTCTGACATAAATAATGAAATATGTGACATACATAGGCACCGAGAAAGTAGAGAGTGGGAGAAAGCTATGAATGATCTCAGGGACCATCATGTAGAGGGAAATACGGAAGCAAATAGAAACTAAGCAGAAAAGGACCAAACTTCACTGCCCTGTGATGATAGGTTCTTCAGTCTAATATTTCCAATGAAATAAGCTGCATCCTGAAATTGTGGTGTTTCTAGGAGGCACAGTTATGTGTAAAAGCCCTCGCTACCAAAAGGATGTCGGGTGTCATCATTAAGAATTACTTGAATTCTTCCCAGGATAATCATGACCGTTGTTGATAAAAGTTGAAATATTAAACTCTAGATCCTACTAGAGTAGGGTCTGCTCCCTGGATGTTCTTACTTCAACAAATAAGTTAAAATTTGGGGATTAGAGATGGTTTACATAATTAATTTCAGATAGGTAAATTACATTCCAAAATGCATTTGCTGCTATATAAGAAAAAAAAAGACAACAGTGTACTAAAAAATACATCCCATGTTAAGAGTCACTTTTAAAGTTGGATCAAAGTATCCACCTAAGAGATAGAATCTCTGTCTTGGAAAACACAGTAAAAGCATTAAGTTAAAAAAATCCTTTTTATTTCATGCTGATCGATGTTCAGTCTTTCTCATTTAATGAGTGGATAAATGCTTAAATGAAAACAGAAAAATAAAGTCAAAAATTTTAAGGCAAAAAAAGCCATACTTTTACAACAGTGAATTTTGTAGACCTTTACAGTTCTATGATAAAATTTCCTAAAGAACTCAGTTTCTCACTAGTTGAAGTAACAGATTTTAAAAAGCTAGTGAACAATATTAGAAAAATGTGGCCCTCTTCATGTGATGAAGGCATGTTTTATCAGAGCAAAATAATAATTATTTACTCTATGCAGAAAACAATGTAAAAGTGTTGAAGAATGTGTATAAACATCCCCTTAATGTGCTCTCATAATGTGCCATAGTCTTGATTTATAGTTCTTTTCTCAGCAAGTAATTCAACATTGTGCAATTAATTTTCCCTCCCCACCTAACATGTTACAAGTTCCATTAAAATGGGATCCACATCTTCCTTCTTTATCCTTAGTGCTGGAGCAGCCAGCACTAGCACTGTATCTTGCATATAATAGTGTATGATAAATATTTGTTAATTTGAATTACTGCAACTTAGCAAAACTGAATAATGAGGAAACTAAATGAGTGTGATGTAAGGACTGTGGCAGCAGGTGTTGTTGTATTACAAAGACACATGTGAATAGAATTGATTCCAGTTGCTTTTGATCTGTGTTTTAATATAAATACCAGCGATTACCAATTTATTCAATAAAATATTTAAACATTACTAAGTTTTGAAAGAAACATTTTTACTTCTAACATTTTAGTAACTATGAACTCATTTTACAATTTTTACTACGAAGACGCTATTGCCAAAAGAGAAATAAGAATCAACTGTTTTCAAAATTATTTTGGTGACATATCTCAAAATTCATTAAGTGTGAATGTGAACTAAAGTGTAATTAATATATAGTGTTTCTGGCTTTTATTTTCTAGTTATTCATCATTATTTAAACATCACAGTAAGCTAGACTTATCAGCTAGTGCTAAAAGCAGATTGGCAACTTATAAAGCAAGTGTTACTATTAATAAATTCCAAAACTGAAATAGAAGCAAAGTACAGTAATCATGGTGATATTTAATTATTTATTTGTGATTCACGATTAAAAGCTGTGTTTCTGAGATCTTTACAAGGTTTGCTGGTAAATTTCCTTTCAGAGCAATAAGAAATGCTCTTAGTTAACATTTAATTCTAATCAACAAGGTGACATTGGTTGGCTGAGTAAATACAATGATAATTTTGGGAGCAGGTACCCATGTTGTCTTTGGTTTTTGTCACAGTCAGGAATAAAAGACTTCGGAATAGAACATTCCTAAAGTTTATTATACAGCGTAGATAATATTTTGGTTGGGAAATGCAGTGGATTTGCAGAATTTATTTATTGAGCAGATGTTTGATGAATGTTTAATATATACCAACTTCTGTGTTAGTTTTCATGTGCATTTTAAACCTACAAGTATAGGCCGGGCGCGGTGGCTCACGCCTGTAATCCTAGC